TCGGAAGAACTTAATCTTAAGATGAATACTGCAAGTCTTTAAATTCTGGGAGAAAAGACTTGTTAAGTTCTGTTTCATTGAATAAGAAAGAGCTGTTCTTTTAAGTAGCAGTGGGATACGAAGAGATCCTGAGATTGTAACTATGCTGCTGTTGAGGATAGTGCCTTTAGCAGGAGATGAGTTTTTGGTTCCTAAAAATATTTTTATCAGCAAAGCAGTGGCCGCACTAGGTGTAGTTTGACTCCTTTTCTTTTGGATTATTGTTCATGAAGTCAACTGACGAAATAACACAGCCCGTGTTTGAAAAGAAATGATGCTCGCTTGTGGCTAGGATCTGGCTTTCCAGGATTTCCATCTGGTCCACTAACTTTTCCTCGGTGAAGGCAGAGAATGGCTGTTCACATGCTTATGCTGCTTAAACTTCTGAACTGTGCTTCTTTAGTTGAAATGTAGAGCCACTGCTGCACAGGTAGGAGAAAGAAGTAGAATAGAGATGTGTCTTTTCTGTGATATGCCAACTTGTCCTTGAGCCTGTGACTGGCTCGAGTGGTGCCCAAAACAAGGATGTCACCCTTCTATAGGTCAACCCAGATAACCCAGTCTATTTTGCCCTCCTTCCTGTGGCAATTTTGAGTGAAAGATAGCCAGAGTGTAAAAGTTTGCATTAAAGGATCCTGGAATATTTTTTTCCTAATTAAAAAAATAAGTGGATGTGATCCTTTTGGGTCAGAAGAGCCACACAATTAATTTACAAGGCTGCTGATAACAAGGTTGTGAATACTTGTCTTTTTTCTTAATCCTAAGCATAGCTATCAATCAGCTATCCAGTGCAGTTTATGTGACATGTTCTTGCCTGAAGACCAGATAGAATGGCTCTGGAGCACTGATAGACTTTAAGCTTGCTGATTGCCATGTTCTTGGCATTGCTCCACAGGGAGATCCTGGAAAAGCAGTGGTTGACATACTGGGAGTTTTACTGAAGTTTAGCTAACCTTTGACTTCTAAGTTTTGGTTTGTTTGGCGTTTTTTTAGTTTTATTTTATTTTTTTTATTTGAAAGGAAGTTCTGCAAGTAGTTGATCTCAAAACATGGATGTCAAATATCATTCTCCTGAGATAGTATAAAATAATGCTCTTCAGGAAGTAAATGCAAATGATTAATTTTCCAGAGCTATGTATTTTGTAATACTTCTCAGCTTGCTTGATTATCACAATATTCAATTTTTAAATTTATTTTTTTCAGTGCTTCCTTAAAACATCTCTTTAGGTATGAGAAAGTCTGGGAAACTGTTGCTAAATTCTATTTTAAGAAAGGTCATACCCTGTATGTATCAATGTATTTAAAGGTAGCTGGGGGAAATGAATATACTCAAAGATAGGCTGAACTTTTATCTGATTGTAAATGAAAAGCACTGCGCCAGGAAGGGTGTTGCACTTTAAGTTTTCTTCTGAAAAAACTTTTGAATGTTAAGTTTTTTGTATTCTAACATATTTTGGTTAAAAATACAGAGACCTGCCTAATGCAGTTATCTTCAGTAGGTGGTCTCACTGAGTGACGGAGATGTTGAAGTCTGTACAAGACATCTAGTGGATGAGACCAGAACTGCAAGCACTACGTCCTTCCACCAGTAGCTTGGTCTTGGTTGCACCCTCATGCCAGATTGACAATACTGATGCATAATAACTATTTAATCAGAAATATTATAGAGAGAACTAGGTAGACTCCAGAAATTAGATGACTAACTTAAGAGATTAGAGGTGTCTAAAAAAAAAAAGTGTATTGCTTTTTATTTGCCTTTTAGGTACTAAATGTGGAAAGCGATTAGGGCACGTGTTAGGGGTTTCTCAGCAAACATAAAGGCAGAGAACAATTAACTATGCAGAAACTGAATTTCTCATTTAAAGCCTGGTTCTGGAGATTTTTAAAAGCACTTTTCAAGAGTCATGAGACCTGAAGTAGTTTCAAAGGTTGGCAGCACTGCAAGTGTTCTTCAGCATGATTGTTAGATGAAATTTTAGTAGAAAGCTATCAAGTGTCTGCTGCTGCTGCTTTGATGCTGTACTGCAGCTTGCGAACACTTTCAGGTCATGTTCTTTTTGGATTCAAGTGATTTTGGAACTTAATAGTTTTAATTCGCTCTTTTGCAACTTACTGGAGCTTAGCTTGACCAGCAGATTGCCCTTTGGTATTTTTGTTATTAGGCAGATATTCTAAGTCTGAGAGAAGTTCACTTCAAAAGTACGGTGTGTGCAGCATTTACTTCCTGACTGGTGTGGCTAAATCGTTGTCTTCCTGTAACTTTACCCAGCAGTGAGGGTGGTTGGAAACTTGGAACTTGAGTACATGAGCCACAGGGTTAACACTTGTGGTGGTATCTTCTACAGCCAAAGCTGCTTGCTTTTTGAGTGCCAGAGGGATTTGATTTGCATTACACTGTCTCAGCCCATTTTTTCCCAAACCACTATTAGGTTTTAAGTTGGAAATTAAATCATAGCTGAAATGTTGTGGTCAGATGTCAGAGCTTTTGGCCAACTTTTCTGAGGAAAAATTAATGTAATGACTTTGTGAATATTGAAGAGTTTAATGCCCTGGTAGCTGAAGAAGAATTAGCTCCTTGTGACTTCATCCAAACCCTACAGATGTGCCAGAGAAAATAAGATATAGCTTATTGAAAAATAAAAGTATATTTTATTAGGCAGAGATAAATTAAAAGCTGTTGTAGTCTTCACATTTCTATCTGGGTAGACTTGATTTTTTTCCAGAGCGAATTTACAATAAAACAAACTAAGCAAACTTTTTGCAGACATTAGATTTAAATTATTTTAGAGGAATTTTAGTTTTTTTTAACTAAGATTGTGGTGTTCAAAACACTTGCTGAATCAGTGATAACTGCAATAAAATGTGGTAGTTCTTTAAAATCGTTCACTGTGGATTATTTAAAATCCCATTTTAATGCCCTTTAAAGGAATGCTGATAAAAGGTGAAGTATTATTGTCTTTGGGAATAGAAATTCTCTCTTGCTCCATTGGCTTGCTTCCTTGTACTAGCTTGTACTGCAAGATTCCCTGTCTTTCTCTGATATGATGCTCATATCCTCAGACGTTTTTAAAGCATCTCTGCTGAATTAGCTCCTGCATCAGCCACTGAAATAAATGTTGATTCCAATGCACCTCCCAGGGAAGGCCGAAACTACAAACATTTTTATGAGGTCTCCTCACAGTTGTCCAAACATTTTAATTTAACAACTGGATTGATGCCCCCACCTCATTCATTTCGAGTCTTCTTTTTAACTAGAAACAGCTGGTGAGATTCCTTGGCTATCACAGTCTAAGGAATGTGTATTGCCTCTGCAATTTTTATATATGCTTTGGGTTCATATTAAAATGTGGCAGCTATTGTTGATATGATATTTTGTAATTTAAGTACACTGGATGGAGGACAGATAATTGCATAAATATGAAGGATTCCTGATCTGTAATTCACTAAATGCAGTGTGTGCTTCTAAACAAAAATCATCTAATGCTTCTCTTGCATTAAATCTTCAAGTAGATTGACCGATATGGCTTGGTTTTCAGGCCTTGTTTAAAGACAAAAGTGATTAAAGGGATTTTAACCAAGTGTTAACAGTAGCTAATGTGTAACCGTAACTAATGCAGTCCCTCAGTGTTTCCCTGTAAATTTTCTGTGCTTCAAGTCATGCTGCTGCTGCTTAAAATGAAACCATAGCAATACTGTAGTATCTTGTGGTGAAAGGGTGTTGGTACTTAAAACCAAACTATTGTGCATTTAGGCTCAAAAATCAGTTTGATTTTGAGTGTCTGCCTGTTGTAAGGTTTCTTTTTTTAATTTAAAACAACAGCTCTGTGTTTAGGCCTTTGTTTTGGCAATACTAGGTGTTTTGAGGAGGTATGCTTCATTTTGCAGTTTAACTTCCCTCGAGAGGCTTACTTTTATCTTGCGTTATTATTTAGTCCCTACTAGCATCAGAATGAACTCATCACTCTGTTTTTAGTGCCTAAAGTAACTTCAACTTTGTATTTGCTGTTTTTCAGCCCTCTTAGTATTTAAGATGTCATCATCTCCCTTCCCAGAAGCAGTGACAGTGTGATATTGTATTTAAAGACCCACTGTAGTAGTAATGAACATATGATTATCTGAACACACAGCCCAGCATTCATTTACAATCTCTGCAAGGTCTGCGGTGGATAAAGAACAGCATACTGCCATCTCTAGAAGGAAAATCTTGCTCTCAGAAACTGGGGATCTCATCAAACAATGTATTCTTTTGATCCTTGTGGTTTTTCTCTTGGATCAAAATCATACTGGAACCATTTCACACAAGTTGAGTGTGCTCTTTTTGAATACTGCTTAACCGCAGTAGGCTTTCAGTAAGCGCAGGTGAAAGCTTAAAATCGGCAAGCTGGTCTGGATCATTAAATGGTGTTCATGTTGAAATATGGTAATAGGGAGTTAACACCAATGACAAAACATGCTGCATAGCAGCGTGTAGTCTCTGGGGCAGATAAAATCTGTCTTATGGTTCATATTGAACATTCAGTCTTTAAAGGATATAAGTGATTATCCTTGTGATTTCCAGGGGAGACCTGGTTGTAACCAAGGTAATGATGATTCCTAAGCAGTCATTTACATTTGTGAACTCATTAGCTCTGGACTTTGTTTTCAGCTCTAAAGGCCATTGATGTCATGGGAATGTCAACTGTGAATCTTCTAATTCTGCTCTATTTTAGAAGGTAGCACAGAGAAGGAGATGGAAGAGAACTAGGTGTGGCTCTAGGGAAAACCTTGTAAGAGGAGGGGGAGAGTAGGGGACCTCAAATATGAGAGGTAATAAAGGATGTCAAAGAAATAAAGTACAAGCATAATGCTGTGTCTGAAGAAGAACTGTTTACTCTTCAGTGGATGAGTTTGACTGCAAGGCACAGATCCCAGAGTAACTGCCAGTTGCTCTTTGTGGACTGCATTCTATCTTTTTGTGGCTGTCTCCTCCTTTGGTAACTGGAAGAGCAGAATTTGAGGAGTTCTGTCTGATGGGTCTCGGCTGAAAGTAGAATTAGGGTGAAATGAATATGACGTCTCTTGTTTATGTAACTGATATTTTTTCTTCCAGATAACTAGCCCACCAGGTTGTGGCAAAACTCAATTTTGTATTATGGTGAGTGTTCTGGCTACACTGCCTATAAGCATGGGAGGACTAGATGGGGCTGTTATATACATTGACACAGAGTCTGCATTCAGTGCTGAAAGGTAAGATGCAAAGTTCTAAAATACACACTTGCAACTTCTTTAGCACCTTTTATCTTGGAGCCTTCAATTATTTTCTGAGCAATAATTAAGCATTTATAAATAAATACCTATGGTAGTTATTAAGCATTCATCTGATATACGCAGTTATTCCGTAGATGATGAAATTAATTTAATAGAGTGGTTTTCTCACTTTCCTAATTTGTATGATGTTGCAGATTCCAGTTGTGGTATGATGAGGTGGACGGTGCGCTCTCTAATTTATAAATGGTCTTAACGGTGCGCTCTCTAATTTATAAATGGTCTTAACGGTCTTGTACCTGAAATCTTTCTTTGCAGTTTAGTTTGTGGAGTTAGCAGGAAGGTTTTGAGGATGTAAAGCCCCAGCATTTTGAGTACAAAGGAAATGGAGGTTTTTCTGTGAACAGTAGGACTGACATAGCCAGTTTTCCTTCAGATTTCTGTCCTATTTCTGCAGAGTGGGGCCCCCTGCCCTTTTTCTGCACTTCCAACTTCCTTCTGCAGTAACCTCACATCTCTCCTATATCCTTAGTGGCCATGCAGTACTATATTCCCTTACCTCTATAACATCTCTGGTTCTTCTAATATCTCCTGCTTTGCCCATGTGACTGAAACTGCTCAGCTATGCACTTACGGTATCTTCTGACTACTGAACAGGCAGGAGGCTTTACCTGCTGTATCTGCTTG